CCCTTCTCCTCCTGGCTACTCACCCTTCAGGACTCACCCCATTTCCTCCCCGAAACCTTCTCTGGCCCCTCCTTCTCCAGAATGGGCTCAGACCCCCACCTCCTGGCCTATGGGCTCTTGCTCTTTCTTCTGTCCTCACACCGACTGCATCATAATGTAATTTTCTTTAGCACATCTGCCGTCCTGAGCTGTGGACTCCTCGACAGGATGGGCCATCCTGTCTCTGGTCCCCCAGGCCCTGGGTGGTGCCTGATACATGGGAGGTGATGCAAAACCCACATCTGTTATTCTCTCTGTTTTGGGCAGAGGGCGACATTGACATTTTGCTGGACAAATTTCATCAGGAAAATCAAGGCCACATTTCTTCCTCACTTACTGCCACCTCTGTCACCAAATCAGCATCCCTGGAAGTTGCCGGGACACCAGTGTGCACAAGTGAGTGATGCCAGGGAGCTGGCGGCCGAGGTCTGAGCTGGTGAGGCAGCCCCCAGGGGGTCCAGGAGCTGCAAGGGAGCAAAGTTAGAGGTACATCCAGCGGGCAAGGCGTCACCTCAGCCTAAGTAGACCTAACATCCAATTTTAATTTTCGTCTTTAAGGACAGCAGTCTCATTTTACCCTGAAATGTACGTCTGTACACTTTTCCTGAGATGGCGCATTTCTCTGGGTTGATTTCCAGTTTATATGTGCGTTGTTAAAATATTTTAGTCACTCTAAGTTCCTGAAGAGCTGTTATGGTCTCCTCCTCTTCCAGAGAAGCTGCAGCCTCTTCCAAAGTCCAGTCTCGACATCAGCTCCCCTGGGAAGCCAAACTTACCCCTCCAGGTAGAACAGGTCACTGCCTCTCTGCTCCCCGAGCGCTGTTTATCTTTATTTTTAAATTAGGAAAGGGTGTGAAATGACCATCATGGTGTGTAGCCCAGAGCAGGTCCTCAATAAATATTGGTGTTTTCCCCATTCCTCTTCACCTGGTGCACTAGACGGGGGCCCACCGTCTGATTCCCTAGCAGAGGTCCAGGGCTGTAGCCATCTGCGTGCAGGTGCGTCTCACCTTTACGGGGACTCTGGTTCCAGGTTACCATCTGGAGCCTCACCACATCCGGCCCTTCCAGCTGGCCGTGGCCCAGAAGCTCCTCTCCCACGTGTGTTCAATTGCGGATTCCAGCACCCAGAACCTGGACTTGGGGTCTTTCGAGAAGGTGGACTTTCTGATTTGTGTTCCACCCTCCGAAGTGACCTACCAGCAGACCCTGCTCCATGTCTGGCATTCAGGTATGCACCTTTTGGGATGAATGTGGTGTCTGTTTACTTTCAGATTTGGATTTTAATACCATCTTTGCTTCTAAAGTAGATGAGGCAAGTAGTAACACCCCCATTTCATAGCTCACAAAGCGGATGCTCAGGGGAAGTGAATTGTCCATGATTTTATTAACTGTTGACTTGAATTTTCCCTCTGTCCCACTCAAGTCAGTGAACTATGTCCCGATAATCTGGCTTTAACTTAACGTATTTTCCCTGTGTCTTTAAAGGGATTAAACACCAACCACACAGAAAGTCAGTGTCTTCACTCAGAGGATTCACTTTGGAACCCTCTAACCTACGGTCCGGCATTCGGGCCGGAGGTGATTTTGCTGAGGGTGATGGGGAGGGAGAACTTTCCCTTTGCTTCAGTCACACGTGCCTGGGATCAGCTGCTTCCTGAAGCCAGCTTTGTGGTGCCCACATGGGCTGCTGTGTGCACCCCACACTGTGGAGCAGGCCCGCCTCCAGACCCCTCTCCTGCACGACAGTCGTTGGCATGGGGGTCAGCCTCCCTGACTCACCTGCGTCTCCTGCATCCCCGTAGCCTCGGGGCCCAGCACCACACCTGCCACTTGGAAGGTTCTCGTTGTGTCTGCTGGTGGGTGATGGATTTTCACTGTGTTGCAGGGGTTTTACTGGAGCTGGGCTTGGAAGAGGAGCACATGACCAAGCAGAGGGCAGAGCAGTACGTTCTGAAGCTCGATGCCGAGGCGCAGACAAAATTTAAGGCCTTTCTGCAAAACTCCTTTCAGAACCCGCACACGCTCTTTGTCCTCATCCACGACCACGCCCACTGGGATCTTGTGAGGTTAGACTGACTTCGCACGTGGCAGGACTGAGCTCTCCCTTCTTTGGGTTAATCTGTATGGATAGTCCTTGGGACTGTGGGCACAAGACTTAAAGAGATGAATGACGTTGGGGGCTTGGCACCTGCGGGCGGATGCTGTGGAGGTATTTTAGACCTTGAGGCTGGAAGTTACCTAAGGCATCATCTAGTGCAGCCTCTGAAAGGTGCCGTCATGGAAACTATGGAAGGGGAGCATCTCGCTCAGCATCACGGGGCTGGCGTGGAGGTGGGAGGGGGTTAGCGGCAGAGCAGCGGGTGCCACACTGGCGCCAGGAAGGGCTCCTGACGGGACTTGCTCGGCCCAGACCCCTTCCTGGTGGAGCCTCACTGGCTCGGGACACCATGGGTCACAGCTTGTGCCCTTCCCCGGGGTGATTTTACTTACTCAATTCAAATGAATGTAAATCTAGATGAATTTCAGAAGGTGTCAAGCTTGGAGTCTGGCAGGATTCCTGGTGGTTTCCCAGGATGGGTCATCTCCATGAGCCCGGCCTGGGGTTGTGTGTTTAGACACCGCTGCTGGCATGGATGAGGATGGAAGGAAGGTCATGGGTCGGATCTTAGAGGAAGGCTTTGATTTAGCTCAGGGTCAGAAGCTGAGGGCTGGCCAGGGCCGTTAAGCTTCACCTAGGTAAAGGGTTTACAGTCAAGTGTCCATGTACGGGCGTGGGGGAGTTTGAGCATTCTGAATTATGTAGAGAGCTATATGGTGCAGATTCATTTGGGGGGTAGGTTTCTCAGAGTGCCTTCCTGCCACCCAAATGGTGAAGTACTGATTTTTTTTCTATTCCCCTAGATGTACAGAAGAGAACGCTGAGGCCATTGTCCCACAGAGAAAGGCTGAGATGCGCTTGTCTCCTAGGCCCCTTGTCCAAAATGCTTCCCATTCCTGGTCCTATACTTTTAAATTTAGTATAGAATTTATCATTTTATGTCCTCCCTGGATCATTTCAAGGTCAGTAGGACTTAAAATTTAAGGAGGCAGGTGCACAGTCAGATTGGGCCAGGGGAGAAAAGGCGGCTCACTGCCAGCTCCAGGGCGAGCATCCCTGTCTGCGGACTGGATGGACTGTGTACCTTGCAGTCAATCGCTATGGATACTGTTCCCCCAGTCAAGCTTTTAATAAGTCATGAGTACTGGGGGAGTCCCTGATCAGTCCCTGAAGCCCAGTCATTTTTTAAAATTTTATTTTCCTAGTCACGGGGAGAGCCGTTCAGTTGCTGGCAATCTGGGGGGCTTGTTGTCTGTTTATCCAACTGCTTGATCCTCATAAAATTCCAGAGCAGGTCTCGTTATTCCACTTACCGTTTCTTCTCCCCCTTTTCCTCCCCTCAGTAGCACCGTTCATAATCTCTATTCCCAAAGTGACCCGTCCGTGGGGCTGGTGGACAGATTGCTCAACTGCAGGGAGGTGAAGGAGGCCCCCAACATCGTCACCCTCCACGTGACTTCCTTCCCTTATGCGCTGCAGACGCAGCACACCCTCATCAGCCCTTACAACGAGATCCACTGGCCAGCCTCCTACAGTAACGTGAGTGCCCCTGGGCTGCCGGGCCCGGTGAGCAGCGACCTGGCGCCGGGAAGATTCTGTTCAGTAAAGCTTGGACTGACTAGCCTGGTTGGGGGTCAGTGGGTTCCAGCTCCTTGGATCTTTGATTCTCCCCACGGTTAGATTTAAACCCTTCTTGGTCTCTAGAAACCTTCCTGCAGTGCATTGATTGTCTTCGAATGTGAAATGCAATATGGTTGGTTTGTTTCTCTGGTGACGGAAGCTCCCCGAACAGCGTTCTAAACACCTGCTCTCTCGGTGTTGGGCGTAGAGCCTTCTAGGGCTGTGGGAATTCGGGCTCCAGGAAGGGTGATGCTAAGTTTGTCTAGAAGCCCTAGAAATGTTCCTGTTTTTCCTACCTGTGCATCCTTAAGCAGCAAGGTTCAAAATCTCCTTCCTCTAACTGAACCCACATCCACAAAACCTGGCGACTTTTTATTTCAGCTTTGCACCTGCCATTTTCTCATCAAAATAGAAGATACCAGTAATTCTGGTAATTTGGGAAATCTGGGTGGTTGGACTCTAGCTAATTACACAAACAATAAAGAACAGCAAGTTCTGGACTTCTTTGGAGTGTCTCAGAGGCGTCTGAGGAACATCTGAAGGTGTTGATACGTGGCTTCAATCCAGAGTCAGAGGTGGGAACAGCAGTTTGTATATGGTGCTTACATGAGCCAGGCAGGCACTGTTCTAAGTGCTTTATCACGAGAGCTCATGTAAGACGCAGGTGCCAGGGTGACTTCTGACTTACAAATGGGGACAGTGAGGCAGAGGGGAATGGTTAAGTCACTTGCCTAAAGCCATGCAGCTAGAATGTTCTGGAGCCCGGGATGTGAATCAGTCCAGCCAATTCCATAGCCCTCACACTTAACCACTGTGCTGCTGGAGGGTGAAGTTCGTGCCTTTGTAATTCTAACAGCCTCCCCCAACTTTGCTCTGAAGTTTGATAATCTCTGATGTGGGTTTGGGGGTGAATTTTGTCAGTGTGAGTAAAACTGGTTAGATAAAGGCATTTTTTTCTGCTGATTTAACAGCAGCTGAATGCAAGAGAGTTGATTTGCCTATTCCTAAAACCAGCTAAAATTGTTGGAAAGAAGCAATTTTAACAAAGGAAGTTGTGTGTTTAAAAAAAAAAAAGACAAAACTGATTTTCTTTTTGACAAAGGTACTGGGGTCAAATGAACCGAAAACTCTCGACTAATAATGGGGAGGCACCGGCCTTTACGCAAGGAGTGCTCTGTGCTCTGGGTCTGCAGAGGAAAAGACATTTATAAAATGTCATTGGAGGGACTGCAGAGTCAGCCCAGTTTAGATCAAGATGCCCTTCCAGTTCTCCTGTGCACCCAGCATGTGACCCTCCCAGTCCCCGCAAATACAATGTGTCCATGACCCACGCGCTTCTCTGTTTTAGGGAGTGGAGCTGTATCATGAGAATAAGAGGTACTTCGGGCTGTCCGAGTTCATCGAGTCCACCCTCTCAGGACATAGCCTCCCGTTGCTCAGATACGACAGCTCCTTTGAGGCCATGGTCACCGCCTTGGGGAAAAGGTACACCTCTCTCTTGAAATTACTGACAATGCTCAGTAGTCAAGTACAAGGTGAGGGATGTGTAGCCAGGGAGTTCTGGGAAGGGGTCCATCTTCCTCCCTTCTTGGGTGACTCAGTTCCCCCCTTAAAGGGACCCTGGTTTCTTTCTCAACCTGCATTTTGTGACGGTGACATCTCTGTTGTGCTATTGCAGAACAACAGAAAATTTTAGAGATAAGAATGGGCAGAAATATGCTGGAATGTGGGATTGCATGTCTGAGACTCAAGGGAGGGCAAGAAAATGGGAGGCAAGATATCAAAAGGCATAAAGGAAGAGATGGTGGCCGTCACAGTCAGCTTCGTGTTCGTGTCCTTTGGAATAATCTGTCGAGTGCTTATTTTGCGCCTGTCCCCGTTCCAAGAATCTTACTTTCGTTGTTGTATTTAGTCCTCACGGCCTCTGCGAGCCACTTACTATTATTATTATTCCCATTATGCAAATAAACTGAGACTCAGAGAGACGCCATGGTTTTCTCTCAGGCCACACGTCTAGCAGGTGGCAGACCTGAGTGTGAACCCAGAGTCTGTGCGACTCTACAGCTTGCCTTTTTAACCTTGTCACAGCAGAGCCGGGAGGTAGTTAACAATGATGTCATTTTACAGATGGGGAAACTGAGGCTCTGGGAGGTTAAGCACTGACATGTGTGTAGTTTATATACGTTGTAGAGCCAGGCCAAGTTTGGTAGCCTGTCTGATACAAAACTAAATGGGTGGCTCTGCTGCTCATTGGCGGTATTGAACAGGCTCTCCCCACGTGGCACCTCATTTTCCTCACTGGCTGGAAAAGGGATCAAAGTAGACATGAGCTTCCCAAACTGTGTTCCAGTGTGCACTGCTACATACTATTAGCTGTTAGGCCAACAGGGGTTCCATGGTCATCTGTGTTTGAGAAACCTTACATTTAACAAAGTTCTTTTCCCATGAGGGTTCTCAGGGCCTTCAGTATGCCACCTGTGCTGTAAATCTCCAGGAGACAGCTACAGCTTGCAGCACCTGGCTCAGTGTTCCCCACGGCACCATTTGAGAAACTAAATCCCTTTTGCTCTGTGGTGCTGATGGAGTTAATCAGGGTACTTCTCCACCTCGTGCACGGCAGCTGAGCCGTTAGAGCTCACTGAGGGGAGACACCCTCTATGGTTTTACAGTGAGGCTGTGAGAACTGGCCTTGGCCCTGCCTCTGCTTCCCTGCCCGGCTCCCTCGCTTCTCCCCGGCAGCAGACGTGTGTTGAGTGCTTTGTGAGCTGCAGGCATTGGGCCTGGACTCTACAGTTATTGCCTGAAATCCTCATAACAGCTCAGTGAGATAGGAGACACTGTTATCCCCATTTGGCAGAGAAAGAGAGACTTGGGTTAGGTCACTTGCCCAAAGTCATGTTGGGGGTTTACATTGAAGCCAGACCAAATCCTGGTCACTTGACTCCAAAACAGTAGACCCACTCAGCCGTACGGAGCCAGGCCTCACAGCTGGCACGGGGGCCAGACCGACCACGGTACCCTACATCCTGGCGCTCCGCTTTCTTAGTTTTACCTTTAGGCAAATCGTTGAGGCTGTCTGAACTTCTGTACCTTCATCTGTAGAGCAAACCCACTTTCCTAGTGGCTTCTTATGAGAGTTTCATGAAATAACGAGCACGTGCTGGTTCAGGAACCGCTGTGCACTGAGTGCTCAGGCTCCAAGATCACGCCCGTGTTTGAGTCCTGGATCTGTCAGTTATCGGCTATGAGACTTTAGGAAAGTTTCTCAGTCCTCTGTGGGGACAATACCTACCTCCTAGGGATATTGGGAGAATTAAATCAATCAACACATCTGAAACATTAAGTGCAGTACCTGGCTCTGCTCTCTCACATTACATACTCATGTTAGCTACTGCCATCACCATCATCACCATCATCTCCATCACCATCATCACCACCATCTCATCATCACCATCATCTCGATCACCATCACTATCACCGCTGTTATCACCATCATCTCCATCATCTCCATCACCATCATCACCACCATCTCATCATCACCACCATCAACATCATCTCCATCACTATCATCACCACCGTCATCACCATCACCATCACCTCCATCACCATCACTGTCACCAATCCACCATCAGAGTCACCATCACCGTCACCATCACCACCATCCTCCCTCTCCTCTCTCCCCTCTTTTAAACTGTAAGTATTGCACAGAGATTGAAATTTACATTTCACCGAGTGGGAAGAAAATATCAAACTCTGGAATGCTGAGGTGTAGGGAATGATGCAAGGTCCTAGGAGTTGTGTGGAGACATATGGTAACCACCGTTTCTGAAAACTAAGATTCTTGGTCTTCCTGGATGCATTTGGATTTGTAATTCATCTGTCAAATTAGAATCACATTTAGTTACATTTCTAACAACTCATAATACTTGAAATGAATGATATGCCTTTAGGATAGTCCCCGCAAATCTGGGGTGTGTGGTAGCTGCACTTACATACTGATTACTGGTGGCTCTCCTATTTCTACTGGGAACCTGGGGCAAATTACCTAACCCGAGGAACCATAAATTAAGCTGATGATAGGCATTTATTATTTTTTCTTTTTTTGGGGGGTGGTAATTAGGGTTTTTTAAATTTATTTATCTTTTTTTAATGGAGGTACTGGGGATTGAACCCAGGGCCTAGTGCATGCTAGGTATGCACTCTCCCACTGACCTATACCCTCCCCTTATTTTTCTCATTCATCTAGCCATTGAACAGATCTTTAGTGAGCAGCTACTGTGTGGCAGGTCCTGGAAAACATGGCAACAACAACAACCCTTTGCTTCTGTTTTCTAGCTGGAAATGACAAAGCAGATTGTGGCTTGACTTCTAAGGAAACCTTCTATTTCAGGCTCCAAACAACCAGCTTCAAAAGGCAGCACCGTTGTTTGTAATCTGAGAGTCGCCTGTGCGCGAGATGGCAGATGTCTTGGTTACTCGTTTGCCCCGGGAAGGCCTCCCTCTCCGCGGAGCGCCCCGGGTGTCTGTGGGGGTCGCAGCCCCGGGTCACGGCGTGGTCTCTCTGTTCATTGCAGGTTCCCCCGCCTGCACAGCGCGGTGATCAGGACCTTTGTTCTCGTGCAGCACTACGCGGCCGCTATGATGGCCGTGTGCGGCCTCTCACAGATGAAGAACTACACGTCAGTGGAGACACTGGAGATCACGCAGAACCTCATCAACTCCCCGAAGCAGTGCACCCTGCGGCCACGGGCTCATGGTCCTGCTGCGGGTGCCCTGCTCGCCGCTGGCCGCCGTGGCCTACGAGCGGCTGGCCCACGTGCGGGCGCGGCTGGCCCTGGAGGAGCACTTTGAGATCATCCTGGGCAACCCCAGCTCTGGCATCACTGTCGGAAAGCACTTCTTGAAGCAGCTCAAGGGTGGGGACGGGAGGGGTGACAGGGTCCTGGGAGTCCTGGGGGGTGGAGCATGGCAACCAAGGGGAGGGGAGGAGGATGGGGTGATGACAGACTCATTAACGTGGCCTCTGCCCACCCAGCCACCCCTCCAGCCGCCTCTCAGGCCACATCCCTGCCTACATCTTTCGGTCCAGCTGGACCCCATTACTTATAGATACTGCTCCCCCAAAACGCACTGTCTTGCTGGTTCAAACTTCTGAGCTGTGGCACGCTTTTATTTCTTCCTGGGGGTTCATTTCTTCTTGTCCTTTGTTTAACCAAAGCCCATCAGCCTGCAGAACTCAACTCAGTGTCTTTTCTTTCAAGAAGCCTCCCTTCCCTCTACTTGCCCCATAGCCCCAGCCTGGGGCAGGTTTGGTTTTCCCTGCCTGTCATCTGGCTCCTCCTCCTGAAGGGCAGGGACCACCCCCACACACCTCAGCCCCCAAACTAGCACAGTACCTGGCCCTGGTTGTTTCTCACTAAACCTACAAGGGATGGAAGATGCCAAAGAGGGCAAGAGTGTTGAGAGAATAATTGAGTAGAAACCATGAAGGCCCAGCACCACAGTGGAGGGAACGCAGCCTGAATATTAGATAGTCGGGAGTGTATACTTTCTCTCAAAGAACAGCTGATATGTGTCGGGCATTGTCCTGTGTGGCTGGGAATCCCGCGGTGAAGCGATGATATGCTTATTCGCAGCATAAATTTGATAAAAATCAGAGGATGCACTGCGGGGGTTTAAGTCAGGAGGAGAACATCAGGGCCCCCTGAGCTGGGCTAGCTGGGAAGGCAGGCGTCCTACAGATTTATTTCTTTTTAATTATCTGCAGATGTGGCAGAAAATTGAGGATGCGGAGTGGAGGCCTCAGACGTACTTGGAGCTGGAGGGCCTGCCTTGCATCCTCATCTTCAGTGGGATGGACCCGCACGGGGAGTCCTTGCCCAGGTGAGCGGGGCTGTGCTCCTGGGGGTCCTGAGGAGCCAGCTGCCTAGCCCACAGCGGGGTTGGGGGTGTGGGGGGGGTTGCCAGGCCACGCTTCTGCTGCCCAACTCTAGGCGGCACATTCACATCAGCACCATCATCATCATCATAGATTTGTATCTTTATGGTGACGGTTTTCCAGCAGATGCCGTGAAGTGTGTCTGAGACCGGGCAGCTCTTCCTCATTCTCAGATGGGCACCCCTGGGGCTCGTGGGGGTGGGGCGCGGGGGCTGTTGCCAGGCTCTGTGGGTGGACACCCTGTAGCTGATGAAGAAACTGAGGTTTACAGAGACGAAGCCGGTGGGTGGGCTCCAGGGCTGCTGGCTGCTTTCCACTGGGCCGCACGCCGCGCTTCACAAGGGCGCTGCACACTGCGTGCCCGCAGGCCAGGCAGAGGTGGCCCAGGACGTTTGAGCTGGGTGGTTGCTGCTTCACTTGGAGTAATTCTTCCATTCCTCGGCTCCGTAAGGGCTAAGACAATGTCTTAATCTATCTTTTTTTTGCTATATTATAGTCAGTTTACAACATTGTGTCAGTTTCTGGTGTGTAGCACATGCTTCAGTCATTTGTGAACACACAGATACTTGTTTTCATTTTCTTTTTCACTGTAAGTTACTACAAGATCTTGAATATAGTTCCCTGTGCTGTACAGTATGAACTTGCTGTTTATCTATTTTATATATACTAGTTAGTATCTGTGAATCTCAAACTCCCAGTTTATCCCTTCCCATCCCCTTTCCCCCGGGAACCATAAGATTGTTTACTGTGTCTGCAAGTCTGTTTGTGTTTCATAGATGAGTTCATTTGTGTCCTCTTTTTTTCTTTTTTTAGATTCCACATATGAGTGATATGTGGTATTTTTCTTTCTCTTTCTGGCTTACTTCACTTAGAATGACAATCTCCATCCATGTTGCTGCAAATTAAATAAGTAAATAAACCTAATTACCTCCTCCCATGAAAAAACAAAATAAATAAACAAAATATCTTAAATTTGAGCGAGGATTTATTAGGTTCCTTCTTTGTATCAGGCACTGGGCTAGACTTCTCTCCTAGCGTTCGCCCATGGCAACCGTAGTATTACTGTCCTGCTTTATAGGTGAGCAAATGAAAGGTCATTTGCCTTGAGGTCACAGGAGCAGTAAGTTGCAGAGCCCGACTGGAACCCACTTCTGCCTCTCTCCACACCAAGTCCTCTGCGGTTTCTCCTCCACAACCCCGAGCCCTGCCCTGGCCTGTCCACCGTGCCCACTCCTCTGTGAATTCCGTTACTCCTTGAGGTGTCTTCCCAGACAGACTCGTTCACAATATGGCAATGCCTTGGTTGCTGTCCCCTCCCTTGCATGAGGCATGGTCCTGGGCACATTTTAAATGTTGATTAAATAATGAAATGTCCACTTATTACAGATAATCCTCACAATAGTGCAGTCAGCTGGTCATTAATATTTATTCCCATCGTTCAGATGAAAAAAATCTGAGCCTCCAAGAAGTTGCCCAGCCTATTGAGGGTTCTGTTGCTTGGAAGTGGCATAGCTGGGGCTCAAGCCTCATTTTCACCTGACCTGAAAGTCAGTGCTCTTTTGATTCCAGGTAGAACCAGGCTAAACACACAGCAGGTGCCCCCAGAGACTCACAATCAAACAGACTTGGCTGCTAAGGGCTCACGGTGACAAAGTGTGCACCAGTCCTAGGGGCCCACTGAGGAACGCAGGGTGCTGGTCCCCCAGCATGGAGCGGTGCCTCCTCTGTGGAAGGCACTGGATAGACACCTTCTTCTGTGTCCTCCTAGGTCTCTGAGGTACTGTGACCTGCGGCTGATAAACTCCTCCTGCCTGGTGAGGACAGCCCTGGAGCAGGAGCTGGGCCTGGCCGCTTACTTTGTGAGCAACGAGGCTCCCCTGGAGAAGGGGGCCCGGAACGAGGCCTTGGAGAGCGACGCGGAGAAGCTGAGCGGCACGGATGAGGACGAGGAGCTGGTGACCGAAGGTGAGGGTGGCCGGGCCCTCACCCCGCATGCTCCCGCGCGGGTCTAGACAGCCCTCCCTGCTCGGTGTGACCCGGGAACTGTCTGCTGCTTGCAGCTCCGGGTGAGAACGACCTAGATCCATCTTTGAGGGAAACGGCAGATCCCTCAATGAATTCAGATCCTGCTTTTTTCCCCTAATGTTTGGTGGTGTGAGAGAATGGAAATCCCTATTGTTTCTTCCTAGCTGTAGAATTCCTTAAAAAACAGGAAGAAGAATTGAGACTTCTTAGGGTTCAAGTTCATGCTCTGTTCGAATTGCGGGTGGAGTTACTGCCAAGTGGAAGATTCCATCACTTATTTCCTCTGTGCGAATTAACGGGACCTGTCCATTATTGGGAGTTATGAAAACTGGCCAGTTTCGTTTGCAGACATCAAAATCCAACACCATATTTTGCATAGAACACAAACATCAGAGCGGTGCACGGCATTTGGCTGTAGTCAACAGCATAGTGAGAAAAAATTAAAAGCTGCTACTACAAACATGCAAAGCATTTGTGATATAGCAGAGAGAGAGACTGAAAACCGGGGCTCCTCTCCCCTCTCCATCTCTGGCTGTGTGGCTTTGATGGGTCATGTCACCCTTCCCAGCCTCAGATGGTGCATCTGGAAAATGGGGATGGAAAGACCCACCTGACAGATGCCCTGGGGCTGTAGGAACCTTTCACAGTCGTGACTTGACCTTGACATGAAACTGCCTCCACTTCCCTGTTGTCTATGGGATGAATCCACACTCCTAACATCTCCCACCCACCTCTGTCCTCTCACCATCTGCTCCTCTTGGCTTTTGGCCCTTACGCCGCACCCTCAACTCTTGGCCCCACTCAACTCATGGCTGTGCCCTGCTCTGTCACCTCTGGGCCACACAGGTGCTCTCCCCACTGCTCGAGTTCCCTCTGCTCCGTGCTCTACCTGGAAATTCCTGCCAGCCTGTCAGGACTTGGCTCGAGGTCACCTCTCCCAGGAGTTTCCCTGGTCCTGCCTCCCTGTGCTGGGTGGGAGCCTGGCCCCTGGGCAGGAGCCCCACTGAGCCTCAAGTGCCTCGCTGGCCTGCCCTGCATCTTGCTCCTGTCTCCTTAGCACTCCCTTGAGGATGGTGCCTGGAAACGATGGATGGATGGATGGATGGATGGATGAGAGATGACACCTGTGAATGCACTTTGTAAACTGGGAAGCGCTGGGGGAACGTAAGGGCGGTGATCACGAGGTGTCTTCAGTGGGTGTGTTTTGAAACAGGCTCCGCCTTGGAGAAGAGGAGCCCCGTGAAGAGAGAACGGTCCTGCTCCCACGACTCGGTGTCCTCATCCGTCTCCTCTAAGGCGTCTAGTGAGTCTCCAGGGGCTAAAGATCCCACAATAGGACCTTTGTTTTTGAGGGGTGAGATTTCAGAGAATGAAAAGAGATCTTTTATTTTCAACTAAACTGGAAGGAGAAGGAATCTTTGAAGAACTGGACTTTGTGGAGAGTAAGCATGTTTCTGGGCTGGGGTCTGGATACACGAGGAGATGGAGCAGTGGCTCCTGTCCCGGGAGGAGGCCGTGGCCTAGGGCCCTGCAGGGCTGGTACCGGGCGGTGTCAGAGGGTGAGCCCCGCCGTGCTTGGCAGGCAGCTGTTGGTTTGGGGAATTGGGGGAGAGGAGTGTTCTTGTTGAATCTGAAGGCCAAGAGAACTGGTCACAGAAGACTTCACTGGGTAGCAAATGTTCCCTGAGCCCTGGACCCAGACCTCTTTATGGTGGAGGGCGTGAGGCCTGTGGATAAAATGCTCCTAGTCTCTGCCCTAAGGGAGGCCTCAGTCTTGGGAGCAGTCGGGACCCGCACACCTGAGACAATATCACTTCTTCCCAGTGCAGGTGTTTATTGAGAACCTACTTTCTATCTGACTGAGGGTGTTGAGAGACAAGGTAGATGTGGACCTGCTCTCAGGGAATTCATTGTTCCTTTGCACCAGGTGATGTTGCAGTAGGGGCTGCTGTGTTTTTTTCTGCACACATTCACGTGAAATGTTATTGTTACATGTGGGAGGAAGCAATTAATTTTGTCTCGAGCAGGGCAGATTTAGGGGAAGGGGAGGTCCCTGCAGGTTTTGGAGAGCAGCTGGCCTTTGGGTCTTGCAGGAAAAGGCATTCCAGGTGCAGGAGACTTCACAGGTAAAGGAGGCTCCGGGTGTGGAGGTGCGTGGGGTGCTTGGGCACGGTGAGTGGTCCCAGGGCTACAGCTCAGGGTGCAGTGGGCCTGGCCATGGTCAGGGCGTGGCTGCAAAAGTCAGGGCACATCGGGGGGTTTGGCCTGGGGCTGCTTTGATTTCCTCTCTTCTTTCCGCTCCTCACCAGCCCTTGGACAACAGTGGGCCAGGTGGTGGGGTCTCCCTCAAAGAGGGAGTCAAACGAGGCCTCCTTAACATAAGCCTGGACTCTGTGAGCGAAGGAGATCTGATTTCCGAGAGACTGACCAAGGCAC